CGGTCCCCCCTCTCTGCTGCAGGACCCCTGCCTGGGGGTTGAAGCAGAGCTGGTGGAATGGGAGAAACCTCCCCGGCTGGGATGGGGCCTCCTGGGTCCAGCCCCAGGCCTGGGACTGTATGGAGCAGTACCGAGCCCTGGTTGGGGGGTACAGGTTCTGGAATCACAGTCCCGGGGCCCCCAGTACTCTTCTGCTGTGCAGTTGATGTGTGATCCTGAATTAGTGCCCAAACCTCTCCAAGCCTTGATTTTGTTACCTGAGAAGTGGGGTAACAGTAGTCATTTCCTCTTAAGGTCGCTGTGAAGAGTAAATGAGCCGATGAGCGTAAACCGCTTAGTGCAGCGCCTCCTCGCGGAATTGCTGAAAAGACGTGAGCTGTTATTCTTGTGCTGGTGCTGGGCATGGGCAGAGGAGCTGTATGTGGTGGTTTCTGTCCTGTGACGGGTTCTTAAGGGGGAAGAGACGTGCTCAGAACTGTGTTGTAGAGAGATCCCTGTGCCTGCAGCAGTGTGAGGGGGAAGGATGCGGAGACCCCGGGGGGGATGAACGCTGCCAGGATTGCGGTCACGGCTGGCAGGGAAGGAGGGAGGCGAGCCAGAGAGAGGAGGAGGGGAGTGGACAGGAGGCTGTGATGAGGGGAGGGGAGCCAGAGAGGAGGAGGGGAGTGGACGGGGCGGGGGGGGCACAAGGGCAGGGCAGCTTCTTTGGCTCCATGTTGATGTTGCAAGATTGGAGAGGGGAGGGCGGGATGCTGTGCAGCCAGAGGGAAAGGCCTGGAAGTCGGAGCTGGTTCCGTTCAGTGAGCGGAGGCGTGTCCTCAGGCAGAGAGAACATCTGCTGGGTGTGAGGCTCCCTCCCGGGGAGAGGATAGCTGCTCCTTTCACCTCAGGCTCCGCTGGGAATGAAGACAAGGCAGGACCAGAGAGGACAAGGAGAGCATTCCACAGAAGGTGCGGGCTGGAGGCCCTCAGACCTGGAGCTGGTGTCGGGGGCTTGTCCGCTGCCTGCTCAGCCCCAGTGGAGCCCTCCTGACCCGGCACCCAGGAGGCTGCCCCGGGCTCAGGCAGAGCTTGGGCAATGATGGTTTAAGGAGCTCTGTGGGGGGTTCTCCCGTGCAGCCCCAGCTGAGAGGTACCCCGGCACAGAGGGGGACTCAGCCCCAAGAGGGGGAGCGACTTGCTGAGGCCCCACAACGAGCCAAGTTTAGAGCAGGCTCTGGTCCAAAGCCCTGTCCACCTCCCTGCCCCCCTCAGTCCCGACGCCGCTCCTCTCTCAACAAGAGACCCACCTACCTGCAAGGGGGCTGCAGGGTCCCCTCGGGTCCAGTCTGAACCCGGCTCACGCTCTCATCTGTTGCTCTGCCTCTGCGAGCCTCAGCTTCCTCGTTTTTTAATGGGGTAGATTCTAGTGGTCCTGCCTGCTTCACAGGACTGAGAGGGGAAAGAAAGACAGACACGTAAGCCTATTAAAGAGGACCCGCTTGTAACGCACCAGGCGTGTTTCCCTGAGAGGCCATGCTGAGTGCGTGGTGTGCAGGGGTCACGCTGGCTGAGCTGACCCGGTGAGAGCCAGGTGACAGACATGCTCGTCCTTTGCCCAGAACTTTGGATCTCAGCCTGGGACCCATCCTCCTTCCGACCAGCCCGAGCTCTAGAGCGGAACCCCTTTTCTCAGGGGAACGAGACCCCCCACCCAGCCGCCTGTCCGTAGCAAAAGCAGATGGAACGCACCGCCTTCCCGAGAACACCCTGCCGCCTGGAGCCCTTTGTCAGGCCATTTCGCACCACTGCCAGCGGCCCCCCGGGCACCATGACAGACGCTGCGCACGGAGAGGCACAGTCACACTTGCCAGCCAGCTCCTCTTTTCCGCTTATAGACGGGCCGGCCCCATCCGGCCTCGGGGCCCGTGTGTCCCGGGCGCTGCCTCTACCCTTCCCCGGACACCCCTGGGGAGACACCTCACTTCGCACTGGTCTCTGCTGCCTGTGGTGGCCTCTCTCTTCCCTCCAGGTCTCGCTCTACCTGTTACCTGACCCCCCACCATTTCCTCTGCCCAAAGTTCATGGCCTCTTCTGCTACGATGGCTTTTATTTGTTGAGTGTTTTTTGGACACCAAGCACCTCCCAGACGCCATCTCCTTTCATTCCTGGAGTCCCAGGAGATGGGTGCTGAGCTCCCCCAGCCAGCTGCTTGCCCAGCGGCGCTGCAAGGGAGGTGGGATCCTGTGGGCCCTCTCCTCACCCCTCGGCCTGCTGCTCCCACTCCTGGGCGTGAGGCTCCTGGGCCCCGGAGCACTCGGGCCTCCCTCCACCCACCACGTGGACACAGCGCGGCTGGAACGGGGGACAGCACTGTATACAGCAGGGACTCAGTCCCTGCAGGCTGATCAGAGGGGAGTGGGAGGAGTGAACATAGCTCCCCACCAGGGCTCTAACGAAGGAGCTGGATGGTGAAATCTCCTTTCTCAAGGCTCCCCCTTCCCCACCCACTTTCGCCTAGATTTCTAATAAAAAGTTCTCGGTCTTAACCTTCGAGACCCACTTTGTACTGAGCTCCAAAGGCTCACAGCATGGCTGGGGTTAGGCAGTGGGGTGGGCGAGAGTGTGGGTGAGCCGGCCTGGAGGCCCTTGGCTGACACACACACGCCACCCCGCCCATTCCAGTTCAGGTGCAGGTGGGTCTAGGCACACAGCCCCCCCATTCCAGTTCAGGTGCAGGTAGGTCTGGGCACACAGCCCCCCATTTCAGTTCAGGTGCAGGTGGGTGAGTGTGGCCTCTTCTGCTACGATGGGATTCAGGGGGGCGCCCCCGCCCCCCTGAATCCAGTTCAAGTGCAGGTGGGTCTGGGGCACACAGCCCTTGAAGTGTCCCCAGCCACTCCCCTCCCGGGGATGATGGAGCAGTGGGCCCTACAATTTGATGGAGTCCAGGCCCTACTTTTGCCCTGACCTTGTAACCCTGGCCACAGCCCTTGGCCACTCTCAGCCTCCACTTTCATCAGGTGGAGTGGGCACCGGAGCTCTGTCCGGAGGAGTTCCTGGAGAGGAAGGGCCGGGTCTGGGCTGGCCTCCCTGGGCCCCAGCACATGTGGGAAACTGGGCCTCAGCCCCCAGCCCTGCGGTCTCCTTAGGAGCTTGCCTGGGGCTCAGGAGGACAGGCCGTGCCCTGAGGAACTGGGTGGGGCCTGAGCCTGGCGCTGGGCTGGACTGTCCAATGCCCGAGGCGGCCCTGGCCAGGTTCTCCGGAAGCCCCTTCGGAGGCTTTCCTCCTGCTGCTCCTGGGCTCACAGACAGCGGGACATGTGGCTGCTTGGACACGTGGTCGGGACAGATGTGGGCAGAGTGAGGGGGAGAGAGAGAGAGGGGCGGGACCGAGGGATGTGAACAGAGATGCACGGGAAAGCAGGACAGAAAGAGCAGAGCTGGTGCAAGCCACCGCCTCCTCCCAGGGCGCAGTCTGCTGGTTTCTTGCGTGCTCTCCTTTCCTCCCCTCCCCTCCCCTCCCCTCCCCGCCTCACCCCCTCTCAGTGGAAGAGTCTGGAAGATCAAGTGCGAGGGAGGGCCTTTGCGCTCAAGTGTGGGAACTGGAGGCTGCTGGGAGAAGTGTCTGTGTTACTTTGTTCCTAGATAAAAACCATCTGGCATTGGGTGAGCTGCCTGGAAGTGTCCCTGATCCCTACTGTTGCTTATGCTCATAGACGAGGCCCTGCACGCCTGCAGGCCCCGTGTGCAGAAGCACAGTACACACCTGACCGCGTGCACTCTACCGGGTGCTGACCCAGCGCCTGCTCGGCCCTGGCCACTGTCCGGCCTTTCAGCCGTGGTGCCTGCCCTCCTTTGTGCCCCTGGCTGCTCCCATGTGGCTGCCCGGTGATCAGGAGCCCTGTGCCCTCCCCCGCCAGGCCTGACAGGCATCTGGCCCCCTTCCCACCTCACCCCTGCACACCTCTGACCCTTGGGGGGACGGGACCCTGGATGAGTGGGCAGTTGTGTGTGGCTCCTCATTGCCCCTCTACCTCCATCCAGAGGAGGCCAGCAGCTGGCTCCTTGGCACTGCCAGCCTCCTGCCTGCCTGGCAGAGCTTCCACCGGAAGCACCCTGTTCGCCAGTTCTCAGCAATGCCGTCCCCCACCCTGGGAATGGGGGGAAACCAGGCGTGTTGGGAGTGTCCTGCCGGTGAGCGAGGCTGCGTGGAGCTGCTCTGCCTCGGCCACTTCTCGGCCCACGGCCCTGAGGCAGAGCAGGTGGGGCGTGACTGGCCACGTGCTCCTGTCTCGGAGACCGTGTGTCGGAGCCAGAAGAGAGGCGTGTGCTGGTGTCAGGAGACCTGGGTTCTGTGATGGTGTGACCTGGGTCAGGCCATTTCCTGTCTCTGGGGTTCCGGCCTCTCCCGTACACCGAGGGGCTGGGCAGGATGACCTGAGAGGGCCGTTCAGGACCCTCGGAACCTGAGGTTTGTGGCTGGACTGTGGTACCTGAGGACGCTGACCCCCTCGCTCTCTGTGCACCATCTGAGCTCTGCAGGAGAGTCAGACCTTGAGGGAGAGCAGTCCCCGTGCCCCCTCTAGGGAGGGCCTCCTTCCGCCTCAGTCACGGTGGGCACGGCCGGGGAGGGGACTGGCAAGGGACGCACCCTCGCAAAGGGAGGGTGGTGTTTCTGCGACACCCAGGGCACAGGTGTGAGAGTCACTTTTCCCAGGTGCTGTGGGCCCCTCAGACCTTGTACTGATGGTGGAGACAGGGCTGAGCCGTTGGGAACAGCCTCAGGGTCGGGAGGAGTGGGATGGGCCTCACCCCTCAATGCCATGGGCCTCACCCCGACTGCTCCTGGGCTGACCCTAAGTGGGCCAGGTCTTAAGCTGTCTGTGGTGAAGACATAGGGATACTGGCCTCCAAGGAGAGGCTCTAGAGGTCAGAGGACCATAGCAATGAAAGGCTGGTGCCCAGTGCCCCACAGCCCCGTGATGAGGCGGGGAGCCCCGGGATCACGGGTCTGAGGGTGGGCCTCACTGAAATCCCCGTCTCTCCCTCTCTCCTCCTGCTTCGTTTCCCACGGCCTGCTGCTGCGTCCCGATCCCCAGGAGGTGGAGGTGAGTACTGCCTGGGCCCAGTTGCGTATGACCACTCTGTAGCCACACGCTCCACTGCCCCCTCCTCTCTTTGCACCCTCACCCTGACTTCCCTGTAGCATTCAGTGTGGGATTTTCCGGGGGGAGCGGGGAGAGATGGGGACAGGATGGGGGTGGAAAGGGAGCTTATGGGAGAAGCTGGAAGGGATTCTGGACATGGGTTTAGGGGAATAGAGGTTTGGGGGAGGCCGCTGGCAGGGCCTGGATGGACAGGGGTCAACAGAGCAGCCACCAAGATGGTGAAAAATTTACATGTGCAAGCAGCGTCCCAGCCCTGTCCTCCCTGGGCCTGGAGTTGAACCTCCACTCTGAGATGTGAGTCTTAGCCCTTCCCTTGTGCTCCCCCTCTGTCCTTTCCTAGGATGATTACATCAAGAGCTGGGAGGACAGTCAGCAAGGAGATGAAGGTAACATGCCCCTGCCAGGCCGGGGAAGGTGACTGACACCCAGGAAGCCTTGAGGCCAGAGGGCAAGTCCTGACTCTAGGCAGCCAAGGAGCTGAGGGGCTCTGGTTATCAAGAGCTGCTGGAGGCAGGGACTTGGGGGCTCAGAAGCAAGGCTGGGGGCTCCCGGGATCTCTGGCACTGACTCCCAGCTGACCTGAGTTCCGACCGTGTGCCTACAGCCCTGGACACCACCAAGGACCCCTGCCAGAAGGTGAAGTGCAGCCGTCACAAGGTGTGCATCGCCCAGGGTTTCCAGCGGGCCATGTGCATCAGCCGCAAGAAGCTGGAGCACAGGTGAGCCGCCTGGGGAGGCGGAGCCCTGGAGAGGGCTTGCTTCAAGAGCGAGGGCTTGACTCACCCTCTCCCGTGTATTAGTTACCTATTGCCGGGAAACAACGACCTCAAAACATAGTGTCTTAAAATAACAAGTGTTAGCTCACATTTCATGAGGGTCAGGATCTGGTTCTGTCAGATGGTTCTGGCTCAAGGTCTCTCACGAGGTTACAGCCAAGATGGTGGCAGGGCTGTATCATCCGAAGGCTGGACTGGGGCTGGAGGATTCACCCCCAAGCTCCCGGCACAACTGTTGGCCTGAGGCCTTTGTGTCCGTAGGGATTCTTGAATGGCCTCACACCATGGCATCTGGCTTCCCCTAAGGCTGGACACCTGGGGGAGAGAGTGAGCAAGGAGGAAGCCACATCGTTTATGACCCAGTCTCCGAAATCACGCTTTACTTCTGCCACTTCCATTTGTTAGGAGCGAGTCAGAAGTACTGCCACTCTCCAGAGGTAGAGAATTCAGCTCCATCTTTTAGAGAATTTGTGGACAGGTTGAAGGCCACCACACCGAGAGATCGGTCACCAGACCTGCGAACCCTGGGAAAGTCCTGGCCCCTCTCTGGGCCTGGGCGTCCGTATCTGTGAGACGAATAGGTTGGTCCGGATCCCTGGAGGTTCCTTCCAGCTCTGACTTACAATGACTTCATAAGAAGGTTAAGGTTGTAGCTTCTGAGGCTCGAGGCGGGGAGGGGCATTAGAGGCCTTAACTGTAGCCCAAGGACAAGGCCCTTCCTGGTGCCAAGACGCCTAGTGAAGGTCCCAGTTCCCTCCCCTTTTTTTCTTAATCATAGACTCAGAGACCAGAGACTTGGGGTTAGCTTTAGCTGCCCGCAGGGGCCCGGCAGGCAGTGTAATCTGTGAAGAGAGCCCAGTGACGGCCACTCCAGCGAGCCCAGGCCCTGTGGAAGGGGCGTGGCTGACTAGGGCTGTGGGAACTTTGGACCAGGACTGTCACACTTTGCAGAATGCCCAGTGGTGAAAGGCCAGGGATGCAGCCTTTTATGTGAACTCTTCTATTTTGTATATAATTCAATTGAAAACACAAACTCTGATGGCCGAATAAAATGAGTCTGCAAGGCAGATATGGCCTGCGGCCCATCAGTGTGCAACCTCTGATTTGGTCTGACCCCTTAAGCGAAGTGTGACCCCCTTTTACGTCTTACAGCAGGGCCTGGAATTGCTGCCCCAAGGCCCTGCTGACTCAGTAGCCCCAGCAAAGGGGAGGGGAGTCTGTGCCATGTGAGCGGGAGGGTCTGGCTGGAGGTGACGGGGTGGGTGGCGCGGGCAGGGGCACGGCTGCGTCTACTCTGGATTGCCGGGACCAGCTTCTTGTTGGGACCCGTCTCCTGCGCCCTCTCTCTCCCTGGCCCTCTCTCATTTTCACCTCTGTCCCGTGCCCTCCCCACCCCTCTCCCCCTGTAGGATCAAGCAGCCTGCCCTGAAGCTCCACACCAACAAAGATCCCGCCTGCAAGCCCTGCCACATGGCCCAGCTGGCTTCCGTCTGCGGCTCCGACGGCCACACTTACAGCTCCGTGGTGAGGAACCCTCGCCCCACGGGGATGGGGGGGTGCACTTGAGGCCAAAGGGAACAGAGGACGGAACAGCCATCGGGGCCTCCTGGGGACTCCCAGAGCTGATGGGGGTCCTGCATTCAACGGAGCCAATCAGAGCAGGAGCACCTGAGCCCTGGGCTGGGGCTACCGAGGGTCTGCATCAGACCCCGCCCCAGGTCTCAGGCAGGTGCAGGCAGGGGGCGGGGCTTAGAAGAGGCAGGTGGGCAGGCGACAGGAGTTAGAGCAGTGGTTCTCAACCTTCCTAATGCTGCGACCCTTTAATACAGTTCCTCGTGTTGTGGTGACCCCCAACCATAAAATTATTTTCGTTGCTACTTCATAACTGTAATGTTGCTCCTGTTATGGATCGTCATGTAAATATCTGATAGGCAGGATGTATTTTCATTGTTACAAATTGAACATAATTAAAGCATAGTGATTAATCACAAAAGCAATATGTAATTATATGTGTGTTTTCCGATGGTCTTAGGTGACCCCTGTGAAAGGGTCGTTCAACCCCCAAAGGGGTCGCGACCCACAGGTTGAGAACCGCTGAGTTAGAGTAAAGGAGGGAAGGGCCTCCTGACAGTCCCAAGGGCTGTGGGAGGAAGGAGCTCTGTGGTCCAGGGACGGGGAGACGGATGAGCTCTCCACCAGCAGGTTCCACGTGGAGGGGATGGGGCTCACCAGCGAGCCTGGGCATCCTGGGGCAGAGGAATTACCCTTCCAGGAGGTAACAATGTGGGAAGGAATTCCCACCTTATGGGATTTCTGTGAGGATTAAATGATACAATATCTGTGAAAGCATTTTATAAACGTTAAAAGGCCATGGAAGTACGGTGCTAACTGTGAGTGCTTCTGGCAGCCACGAGCAGTTGGGGGTTTGGAGGACGCTGACGGTTGGCTTGGGCTGGGATCTAGGGCTTCAGACCCCTTTGGGGGAATGTGCAGGTTTAAGAACCGGTCCGCCCTCCCTGGGGTGAGGGGTGAAGTAGGGTGGGGATGAAGTCGCCCTTTAAGGGAGGGAGGGGAGAGAATAAAGCTGGAAGCTGAGGCCAGGAGCTGCACCGAGGAGGCAGGGGGAGACCAAGGAGACAGGGGCGGACAGGGCGCTGGAGTCGGAGAGGGCTATGGTCTGAGGGCCAGGGTGCTGCCTGTGAGAGGGAGAGGCACCGGGAGGTCTGGCTTCCATCCCAGCCCTGCGCCTCCCTGAGCTCCCATGTTCTCTGCTGAGCACGAGAAACACAATTCTCTCCCAGAGCTGAGGGGACCACGTGAGATAACGCTGGAGACAGCGCTCCGCCCGCCTCGTTACGCAGACACCACAGGGGAAAGCTTTAAGGGCAAGGAGTGGGCGCGTCCCTCAGCAGCTGGCGTTGGCTAACAGCTGCAGCCCAGTGGTTTCAGTGAAAGCGCAAGAATTAGCAGATGTTCAATAGCTGCAGCTGTTTGTTGTCAAGAGAGCTGAGCAAAGCCCATGGAGGTGGCCGTGGGAAGGCCACTGAGGGACGGGCCAACAGCCAGTGACCCAGGGACCAAGGGACTGGGGTGAGCAGGGGGAGAGGCCGTGAGAGCAAAGAGAGGGTGAGCAATAGCTAAACAGGGCAGGTGGGTGGCTGGGGGTGAGAGGATGAGGACATGGGTGTCCTGGGAAAGAGAAAGGTGCAGAGAGGGCAGTCTGGTGCAGAGTGGGGTTCTTGGGCGCCTTCCATTGCTAAGCCCCTTCCTGGGCCTGCTGCCCCTGCACTGTGCGCCCATGGCCACCAGAGGGACCACGTGGGCTGTTCATGGGTGCTGTCCTCCCGTCAGCCATGGGGAAGGCAGATGTGGCTGCCAAGTAGATGCCCCCAGCTGCAGGGCACCCTGGGGTGAGGCCCCATCGCCCACTGACCTTCGGCCTTGTGCAGTGTAAGCTGGAGCAGCAGGCCTGCCTGAGCAGCAAGCAGCTGGCCGTGAGATGTGAGGGCCCCTGCCCCTGCCCCACGGAGCAGGCCACCGGCTCCACCACAGATGGCAAAGCAGGTAATGCGGAGTGCGGGGCCACAGCCAGGGTGGGCGGGCCGGGTCTCCCCGCCAGGGCTCCGGGGTGGTTTGCAGAGCAGCAGGGGGAAGTGGCACAAGCAAGGACAGGCCTGGGGGTGGGCTGGCTGGTTAACAGAGCAGGAGGGCTTGGGCCTCAGCCACAGGGAGCCTGTGCTGTGTGTTTAGTGCTGGGGAGTGAGGGGCAGGAAGAAGGTGGGAGGGCGGGGAGGGAGCCTCCAATTTCTAGCTCCCTTTCTACAGCATCCCTGACAGCTGCCCGCCTCCTGGCCTGTAGGGCAGCATCTCAAGCTAAGATCATGCTTCACTCACCTCCCCGCCGCCCCCACTCTGTCCTGCAGAGACCTGCACGGGTCAGGACCTGGCCGACCTGGGGGATCGACTGCGGGACTGGTTCCAGCTCCTCCATGAGAACTCCAAGCAGAATGGCTCAGCCAGCAGCGGAGGCGGCCTGGCCAGTGGTACAGGAGCCCGTTGCTCTGCCTGGGAGAAGGGTGGGAGGTGGGGAGACAGGTGTGCCCTGGGGCCAGCCCGCCTTGTGCTCCCTCCTGCTAGACTCTGAGCCCCTAAAAGAGCCTAAACCTCAGAACAGGGGCAGCAGATTCAGGTTAGCTAATAGGAAGAACGTCTTTTTTTTTTTTTTTAAAGTTTTTTTATTGATTTCAGAGAGGAAGGGAGAGGGAGAGAGAGAAATGTCAATGATGAGAGAGAATCATTGATCGGCTGCCTCCTGCGCACCCCCCACTGGGGATTGAGCTGACAACCCAGGCATGTCCGCTGACCGGGAATTGAACCGTGACCTCCTGGTTCATAGGTCGATGCTCAACTACGTAGCAACACTGGCTGGGCAGAAAGAACTTCTTCAAATGGGTAGGGAGAGCTCTGGCTGGTGTTGCTAAGTGGTTAGAGCACTGGCCTGGGCACTGAAGAGTTGTGGGTTTGATTCCTGGTTAAGGGCATGTACCTGGATTGCAGGTTAGATGCCCGGCCTGTATGGGGCATGTACAGGAGGCATCCACTCAATGTGTCCCTCTCACAGCGATGTCCCCCCTCTCCCTCTTCCCTTCCACTCTCTCTAAAAATCAGTGGAAAAAATATCCTTGGGTGAGGATTAACAACAACAACAAAAATTGGTAGGGAGAGCTGAAATGTAGCCAAGAGCAGGTAAGGAATTATTTTCTCTGAAGGGCTTTCAAACAGGGTTTTGATGGTTTCGGTGCAGTTCTAGGTGGAGGCAGAGGGATGGATCTGGCCTGAACAGAGGGCTGGGGCTGGGAGAGGTGGAGGGATGGAGGGATGGACGGATGATGGATGGACGGATGAGCGGAGCTCTTTACCTTGAGCATGGTGGAACCTTGGTCTTCTCCCCAGGCCTGGACAAGGTCCTGGGCGCCAGCTGCAAGGACTCCATCGGCTGGATGTTCTCCAAGCTGGACACCAGTGCCGACCTCTTCCTGGACCAGACGGAGCTGGCCGCCATCAACCTGGACAAGTACGAGGTCTGCATCCGCCCTTTCTTCAACTCCTGCGACACCTACAAGGACGGCCGTGTCTCCACCGCCGAGTGGTGCCTCTGCTTCTGGAGGGAAAGTGAGTGTGGCCCTGGCTGGGCCCGGCCCCAAGCCCCCGCTCAGCCCCCGCCCCAGGCTGTCTGTGGGGTCAAAGGGGCTCTGTCCTGGTCAGCCCGCCCGCCCCGGGACTCTCTCAGTGAGGCCAGCACGTAAACTCCCTTCTTGGCAGGCTGCTAGGTGAGTCCTGACGCTTATGCAGTTCG